AAAAAAAGGGGGGGTTTGTACTGATTAGTGATTTTCTCTTTGGCAAATATTGAATGTGGGTAGATGTTAAGGGCTGAATTGTGTTCCTGCTCCCCAAATTCATATGTTGATGTCCTAACTTCCACTACCCCAGAATGTGACTGTAATTGGAAATAGGGTCTTTAAAGAGAACAGGCAAAAAGCAGCAGCTGCTAGTGTGAGCCTCAGTCAGTAGGACTGGTGGACAGAGGGGAGACACCCCGAGAAGATGACCATCTCCAAGCCAGTGAGAGAGGCTTCAGGAGAAGCTAAGGCTGCACACACTGTGATCTCATAAGCCCCAGAATGGTCAAAACTAAGCCTATGGGGCCTGGCGATGGCAGCCCAAGCTCACTGGTACAGTAGATGAGGCCACACCCTCCACGTCTGCTACCCAGTTGTAACCAAAGCCCTTGGCACACCGAGTTGTGCTATCCCCCAGTAAGCAAGAACAGGTCAATAGGAAAAGCTGGTTTCATAAGCTCAAATATGTCCCAACTATGCTCTCCTGCATTAGAACAGTTATCTTTCTTTCAATGGAAAAACATTGTAGGCAATGACTTTGGAGGCAGAGGAGAGAAAGACCTCCAGGGCACTGCCACAGAACACAAGTGGCTTTAGAATCCACCCTGGGATGGCTCTCGCCGCCTGTGTGGGGACTGGATTCCTGCACCTCTTTGCCCGAGCGCAGCAATGCCTGTGCAGCACTTCAGCTGATACATCCATCTTGAAAACCAGGCATTTTGCCCATGAAGTGTCATTTTTAAAGCTCATTATGCTAATTCAGAAACCATCTAGTGCACATTTGAGGTAAAGATAGCTGCCAGCCTGTCACCTTTGTAATAGTTTCTCTGGAATGTGGGGTTTGGGAAAAGGCTAGCTAACTGTCTACACAGAGAAGCTGTGTCTATCTGAGCACAGTAATTGGCCACTGTAGGATTTGGTTACAAACACACTGACACATGGAGGTATATGTAGCTGTATATAATATTCCTGTGGTAATTTAATATAAGTTACAAACTATGAAGCAAGTTCCAATCATATTGATTGTCGCCTTGTTCGAAGTCCTGCTTCTGTTTTAAGTGTTGACCAAAGGGAGACTAGAAACTCCTCCAGAAACTGGAACAGCTTGGAAGAGCCTCTGCTCTCCAATCACTCCCTGTGTGGGAAGGGGGTGAGGAGTGGAGAAAAAGTTATACACCAGCTATGGTTTTATCACTAAGAATATAAATCCAAGATTCTCGACTAGATACTCCAAAAGCAGATCATTGAGGCACTTAAAGACTTTTTTTTTTTTTAAAGTTAGAACTTGTGTGCATTTTCCATGGATAACTGGTAAGTCTTCAAGGACAGAAAATCAGGAGTGTTTTACTTTGAATACTTTGTTCTCCATGGTTGACCCCACCCCTCCTCATGTCCTCACCGTCTGACCCACTAAGACACATGAGAACTCAATGAACTCTTCCTCTTGTGCAAAGGTCTCAGGCCAAACTGTCTAGTCACATCACTATCTCTGAAAAATCCTGCCCTCCACTCTTAGCTGCCTAACCATGCAGCTCAGAAGGGGAAGCACCATCCCAGTCACCTAGGAAGACCTCATCCAGGCCAAAGGCATGATACTCCCACAGGGCTATGTTCTGCTTGGACTCCGGGCTGCTTCTTGGTGACTCCAGTGAAATTTCAGTCAGAAAGCAAAATGCATCAACCCTGAATACTGAGGACCCCAAGGAGGTCAGTGTCCTATCTGTGCGTGTGTGGGGGGTGCCACTGGCAAGCAGAAGGAACTCTCCTCGCATCAAACAGATGTAGATTCAGTACTGGCTGGACACTTTCCCACCCCCCCCCCCCCTCAAAAACCTTGTGCTGCTCAGACTGCTCTAAGGCTCATTTTCCTCATTCTTATACTGGGAGTGAAGGGGTGGGGCACATACCTACCATCACAGCTGTGCTGTCATTAGAGCTAGCACATGGGCTAAATTGCTAGGAAAGAATCTGCCTGTGGATGACATCCTCTGAGATGACCATGCTATGAGTCACATGCCATCTTCAGGGCTGATGAGACAGCAAGGCCTCGCTGGCAGGGCAGTCAGCACAGCATGGGCTGCGCTTGGAGTGGTCTCTTAGAGTCCTTTTCTGCTGCTGTTTGATGCACTCAGGGCAGTATCAAGATTCCCCAGCTTGTGGCTAAGCCACCTCTGACTCACCACATGCCCTGGGTTGAACCAGGCCCTGGTGACGCCACCACTGCTGCACACTGGCAGTGGGACAGTCGGGGTCATGTGGCAGAGAACAAGCCATCAGCATGTGGTTTTGCATAGGTGCTGGAACGGCTTCCCAGCCTGTGGGAGGAGCTAGAGGGGCAGGTCGCAAGGTTCTCTAATCTTGATTTTCCCTTTGGCTTGGGAGAAGGACATCATTTTGTACTTGTTTCACCAATGCAGTTTAGAATCACACCTCAAATAATCGTAATAAAGCTTTCACAAACTGGAAAATGTTGATAGCAACCTTTCTTATTTTTTGGTGGTTTTATGAAATCTTAACACCCCCCCCCCAAAAAAAAAGCACTGATCTGGGCTCCATGGTTTTGAGTTCCTGCTAGAAACCCTCACCAAGGATTCTTCAGGTGCCTAGAAGACTCTAGATTTAGTATCATAGGCTCATAAAATGCTAGCCCAGAAAGGACAGGGGAGGTATCTATTCTCCACAACTCACAAAGGGAATGTTGCACCAGGTTCAGAGTTGTATGAGATTATGTGTAAAAAACACTGTCAACTGCAAAGCCACGTGCATAAAAGACACAATGACCACAGTATTAGCAACCTATCTGAACCACTGTCTTGACTGTTCCAGATAGTTCTAAGTCAGGAGAATGATGGGACTCCCTTAATACTTAAAATTTTAAAGCACCATAACTAGCAAATCCCCTTATCACTTTTGAAGGCTCTGAGAGAATCCCTGATTCTGTAACCCACCATGTGTTGTGTGAAAGGCTCAGTCCCCACGTCTGGGCAGCTCTGTACAGTCAGCCCTCCGTGTACATCCAGGTGTTTTCCAGGAAACACGACACCCACCTGGAGTATGACCCAGTGTCCTCCTTTGGAAGCTTTCTCCAGTGCCATTTCTGCCACCAACTCCTGACCTTGTCCCAGAGACACATTGTGGAATTTCCCTGAGTCAATTGTGAACCCAAGTTTCTTGCCTGTGGGAGGCAACACAGTGAGAGGAAAAAAGGTAATGAAGGGAAGGTGACAAGAATGTGGAAGTCGGTGGCACAGTTTCCATCTGTGGCCACTGCTGCCACCTTCCAGGTCATTTTCATGAAGAATCCAAACTAAACCTCTGCTTTCCAATAAGCAGCCTTATGAGCTCTCACCAGCTGCCTCCTCGGAAGCATTAGCAAAGCTTCTGGAAATCAGTTCCTCTGGTTTTATGGTAATGAAGCTTTTGACATTTTGATAGAGGGCAAGCATTGTTATTGAGCTTTATAAACTCTTGCAGGAGTAGTAAAGCATTTCCCTCATAAAAAGGAGCAACATGTGGTAGATATCACTCATTTTCTGACTGGATCGGCTCATTGGGTAAATGCACGAGCCTCTCACCTTGTGAGGTCGTGCTTGAATCAAGCACAGTAGGGCCACGGCTCTATTAACCTGGTATTCTTGGGGTAGGCTGTGGGGAATGGTAATCCAAAGCACAAAGCGACAGTGTCACAGCCGAATGCACTTGCTCTAATGACCATTATTTAGTCACAGGGGGCACAAGATTACACGAGCCGTGGAGAAAATTGCCCTCCGGCCCTCATGTAGTCAAAAGGTAGGAAACAGAACAAAAGAAACTTACATTATGCCAACCAGAGGAATGTTCCCTTTGAATGTTTCTTCAGACTAGAGTGTTATTAGCTTTACATTCCCCATGCACTCACCCTCCAGCAGATTAAACAAACAACAACAAAGTAAGATAACTGGACTTAGAAGAGGGTCCAGTGTTCACAGGTGAGAGGGAGAGAGGGGAGAGAGCTGGTGAGCCTCCTGTCACTTGCCAAGAATCTCCAGATCCTTTAGGGCATCTACCCCAGGGGACAGGATGAAGAACACTGGTGTAGCCGGAGTGCTTTCTTCAAATGCTTTGACTAAATCCAACCTGCTCCTCTCCACATACTTTGCACCCAGTTTTTCCTCCACAAAGTTCCTATAAAAAAGAGCAATGCAACAAAACATGATCAGTGCTCTTGACCTTGAAAAGTGTCACCACTTGGATCAGCTTAAACCGTAGGCAAAGGAAGGAAGCACACCATGTTCATTACATGGGAGGTTATGCTAGAATGACAATATGGAGCAAACACAATTTTTGCACTTCTATCAGTGAAGTCCATCTCTGCTTTAGAAGCTCTGAAAATCAGAACCTTCCATTTTGGGGGGCTACTGAGACCCCCCTGTGAGTACCATCAGCTGCCTGCATATGGCTTTGAATCCCCAAAATCCCCTGCCAGCCTCCCCCCCCCATTACTTATTAACAGTTCATTAGACTTGCCACAGTGCAATTTTCCAGCCTGCTGGGCTTCTCATGAATATACAAATGCTTTTTGGGGTGTTTCTAACACAGGGAAGCTCAATTAAGCACGGATTATTTTCCAGCAGCATCAGACTTAACAGAAAGTAAGTACTACTAAGCAGAATTAACTTGTAAAGTAGGATTCAGCAGAGGCTTCTGCAAAGGAAAAATTGGCTGAAGGGAACAAAGCGAAGGGAAAAACCTGAGGCATGTGAATAAAGTTGAAGAAAGGAGTAGGTAGAGAAGGAAGTTGAGAATCCTTTGGTTGGTGAATTCAAATTAGAACACAGCTTGAGTGGGGTTAGTAGCAGAGTATCATTTAGAAGCCAAAAAGGGCAATGAAAAAGAACATTTGGACTAAGATGCAGACAGGAGATTCTGCTTTTATTTTTAATTTTAATGAGATATCAAGTTATTGGGACATTATATAGACAAGATTTGCAAAGGTAAAGGCTAAGGATGAGAAAAATTGATTACATAATAAAGCTAATTGAAAAAGAAAGATGCAAATGTGTAAATACATAAGAGTTAACATTTTGGGAAATATAAATGACAAAAATTGTTAGAAAGTCACACATGAAAATCAGTGAAGACTTTAGATAAACATTTCTTGGCAGTTTTGTCTAGTGTGGCAATGCTTATTACTTATTATGTAGAAAGTAAGGTCAATCCATCATTACTAAATATTCAAAGTAGCAAAATTTAAAATGTTTTATTTTTACAGTCAAGTGATTTGTATTTTTGAAGATTATTTTTAAATATAAGTCGGGGAAAAAGGGATACAAAATCATATGCATCCAAAATTTTAAGAGAGTAGTTCTTTCTTTAATCATATTTTTTATGCAGATACACTGATTAACACCACTGGGGATGACTGAGAACTCACAACTTAGGTGTACCATCACCACACACACTGACCACCACAGCACCCATGAGCCTCCACTACAGTCCATTGGGTCCTCTTCTCATTTCGCTCCTTACTTCCCACTTTTCCCCTCTGGTAGCCTCAACTTAGAAACGGATGCTAGGAATCTGAGAGCAGTAGCTTCTGCTTTTATAATATTGGCTGTAAACTTACAAAATCCCAGGTGTTTTCATGAAAAGAATTTATTCTTGTTTGACCCGCAAACTTTTCAGAATCAAAATGCAACCACTGAATAACAGAGTTGATGGAAATTACACTTGGCTAAGGCATGTTCTTGAGCTCTGCCAACATTCATCTCTCTTCCTAAAATAGTTCTATTGGTTGGTTGTCTCCTGATTTTACATTTAAGCTTTCAGGAAGGATGTGCTGAGTTTGCCTCACTAGCAAACACGCTATTTACTAGTTCAGCAGATTTTCCCAACAGTATCAACACATTAGCAGAGTTACTTCTTATTGATATGGACCATAAACTCCCCCACCAGGGTTCTAGCCCTAATACTGAGTTCCCTCTAGATTAACCTGAACTTGTGAAAATGCTGATGGCCTCACCTAAGAGCATAAGTCATTCTGTCAGGGCGCATTGCTCTCAAAATAATTAGCTTCTGTATTAAACTTTTCTTCTTCCATTCTTGTGGTAACTTTTCTTTTTCTGGACATTCAGATTCTACCCACTTTCTCCACTGCTTGGAAGATCCTTCCACATCTCGGTCTATGCCTCGAAATTCTTCCATAAGGGCTATTGCCTGTAATACAGTAAGTGGACACATAGGAACGGTGTGTTTAAGACCTTAAAACTTCAAACAAGGACTCAATGCATGGGAACTTCTGCAAACAATTGCTGTATAGTCTTGATTCCCTCTCCAGACTTCCTCTATGCTCTTTTCTGCCCTGCTAAGAAGGAAATCTCAAAAGATTACACGAGTTAAGCTCCCATTCTGTAGTCTGGCTGGGTTTGGTTGGTAGGAGGCACTGCAGAGCCGGCAGGTCCGGGAGGGAGGCAGGGGCATTTCTGCCTCAGCGTCTTCCCTGCTCTGACAGTTTGGCAGTGGCCTCAACTTAGAAACCAAACCCTCTACCAGTTCATTTCTTAGTAGTTCTAGCAATGGTTCCTTCCCTCGTTTATTCTTTCTCAGCCCTGGTTGACTACTTTATCTTTCTACCCATATTGTTCTATTCATATTCTGAATATGAATATATTTATACTAGGAAAATATACTTTTTGTTAAACTTCTTTGTCATCCTTTTGAAGGTGTCATCTCTTTTCTGCTGAGCTCTTCACTGACACCCAAATGAACCTATATTTATGATTATAAACAAATTAAATTTCTGGTGAAAATCACGACATAATATAAAAATAAAGGATGTTACTTTCAAGCATAGAAATGTTCCCTTTTTAGAAAAAAGAGTAAGGGAGAGCTTAGTATATTATGAACATCTTTTAGGAGTTTCAGCTCTGGAAGAATAAACTCTTAACAGGATTTGTCAACAGAAAAATGGAACATGGATTGATAATAGAGTTTGAAGAATTACTACCACTATTTTTCACTACAACTGCTTAAATGAGGATAAACTAGTGTATATACAATTAACTAAACAAGCAAGCAAACAAAAAAAGGAAACAAGATTCAGGTAAATTGAAAAAATTGCTTATATTCCTTAATTTAATCAAACAGCCTGATGGAGCATACATATTTATTAACTCCCTGATTACAAATAGGTCAAAAGCTCCTTTACTTTCAAATAAACTATTGCTCAATTTAGCAATCAAAGATGAAAGAATATCACGTATTTCTACAAGTGAAATGGTATCTAATATGGCAGTGGATCAGACAGTAATTTTTACATTTGTGGTGACTGAGGTTTGAAATCAGATACAGAACTTAAAAAATCATATTCCTAAGTACCTTAATTGCACTCCATGACTGAGAAGTTAAGAAGTCAACAGGACTCGGGTAAGTGTGGTCAACTGTGAATCGAAGCAGGAAATCCAATTCAAGAGGGTCTATCTCGCTCTTTCTCAACAAAATCTTGAGTACACAAAATTGAAAAGGGTCATTCAATTTACATCGATATCATGACATAAGAAGGCAGTCACCATTTAATAGACATGATTGAATAGGCAGAATCAAATCTTCTGAGAACTCCTATATATATCTGTTCTGTATGTGATACAAATAATCTGAAATTATTTGTGCACATGATCTCAAACTCTTGATCAGAAATCTAATAAGTATTTTTGAAGACTGGTTTATTCCAACATTACACCTATTAGCAATATGCTTTCATGTTTAACTTTCTGCTTTTAAAATTTGTTGTAAGACTGAGAAAGTCTCCATGATTATGGAACAACTTATTAAACAGAAAGCTGAGCTAATGTTGCTAGTGTTGGTATTGGAATTATGTCTCATAAACTGCAAGATATAGGAAAGATTTTTTCTTACATTTGTGATTTAATTGGAGAAAACACTATAACTTGTAAGATACAACGAAACTCTTCCTCATGCCACATGAGTTTTCCAAAATATTTATGCATGCTTCTCTCCAGTAGAAGTAAAGAACATCATAAACAGAGATGTGGGACTTAACGCTGGGGATGCTACTGACTGACTCACTTTCTTACCTGAAAAGCCATCTGAGACAGGAAGGTGAGCTTGTCCTTCTCAAACAGTGCCTGGCTGGTGTAGAGGAACACAGCGTGGGTGATGTTCTCCATTAGGACCAAGATGTGCCCCTGCATGTCCTCCACCCTGTCAGCCTGCTCGATTGCTCTGTGGAAGAGCGTGTTGAAAGCCTGGGAAATTTCACTGATGTTAAAAGGTGCAACCTGGTGCCTGGAAGTCTAGCTAGCCCCAGACACACAAGGCTACAGTTTAAGGTTTATTTAGGGGGAGAGAGAATAGGAGAGAATTTTTATGAGGATTATATGAGCTCATAGAACTGTTCCTGGCACACAGTCAGTGCTCATTAAATGCCTGCTGCCATCACTATTATTATTAGCATCATACCATAAACACTAGCCACACCTCCTCCCTTGTCAACTGAATTGCACCATCTTCTCTCCTTCTACCCAAGTGCTTAAAAAAATAGACACGTGTGTATATATATAAAAAGTATATTGTGTGTATAAACATACATACCGAGTGGTAAAATACACAACACATAAAATTTATCATCTTAAATTTCAGTGTAGTGTTCAGTAGCACCCTGTTGTCGTACAGCCGATGTCCTAGACTACAGAAACAATGTGACAGTTCCTCAGAAACCTGAAACTAGAATTGCCATATGATTGAGCAATCGCAATTGAAACTGTACTAATTAAACAATATCTCATCTCTCTCTTCCCCTAGTCCCCCAATCTATGTTCTGTTTCTGTGAGTTGGACTACAGCAGATGGCTCATGTTATGGAATTACAGTCGCTGCCTTTTTGCAACTAGTGTTATTTCACTCAGCATAATGCTCTTAGGGCTTGTCCATGCTGTAACATGTGTCAGAGTTTCCTTCATCTTGAAGGCAAATAATATTCCATTGTACGTATATGCCACATTTTATCTATCCACTGATCCACAATGGGCATTTGGGTTGCCTCTATCTTCAGCTATTAAGAAAACGCTGCTAGGAACAAGGGTGTACAAATTTCATGGATCCAAATTTCCATTCTCCTGTGTGTATATCCTGAAGTGGAATTGCTCAGTCATATGGCAATTCACTTTCAATTTTCTGAGGACTGTCACACTGTTTTCTGTAGTTTTTCTGTTTCACAGTCTCATCAAGTGCACAAAGATTGTACATTTGCCACATACTTCTCAACATTTGTTCTTTGTTTTTTTGAAAGTAGTGATGTTAGCGATTGCAGTGGTATCTCACTGTGGTTTTGGTTTGTGTATCCCTACAGATTAATGAAGTTGGGTATCCTTTCATGAATTTGTTGAGCATTAATATTTCTTTGGAGAAATGTCTCCAAAGCCATCTCTAAATCATCAGACTTTTTAAAACCGTTCTTTTTGTTGTTTATTCATGTACTTTTGGTCATCTTTTTCCTTTAAAAACACTCTTGATATTTGTTTTATTAATCTTTCATACTTCACGCATTGGTAATGATTTCTGTAGAATTTTAAAAAATATATCTACATAAATAAAGTAAAAACCAAAATCAACAAACAACTATAAACCAGAGACATTCTATGAGGATCAGAGGACAATAGGATGAAAACTGGGATGGGAAGAGTACATGGGACCACGGTGATGGCACATGGGTGAAATGGTGGTGGGAAGTCCATGCGGATTACAAAGGAGATGAAAAAATGTGGAAAATGAAGAATGATGTAATATATATATATGCATTTGAAATCTATATATATATTTAAATATACATGTAAAGATATATGTAGTTATAAATAGATAAAAATATAAAGTATTTATTTTTGGCTAGTTGGACAAGGACCAAATATTACAAATTTGCCTTGAATTTCATGTATTTGAGAAAAAGTAAAGTCCTATAGTAATAGAGAAAATATTAAGAAGGTATCTATACATTTGATATTTAATTTTAAAATCAGTTTTTAATTTTACATACCATAAAATACCTCCAGTCAGTGTACAGCCTGATGAATTTTGTTAACTATATTCTTCAGCATCAACTAATAATATCAACAGACAGATCCTTCCACTATATTTCACCCCAGAGACTCATGTGCCACCTGATGGTCAGAGACTCCCACCCACGGCACCCACTGATGTGTCTTAGTCACCATAGACTGATGTTTGTCTGCTCTGTAATTTCACATAAATAGGATCATACAACATGAACTCCTTCTTGCCTAACTTCTGTTCAATGTAATATCTTCATGGTATAGCTATTTTTTTGTGTGTCAGTAGCTGATACTGTAAATGGAATAGTATCCCACTGTATGAATATATCCAGCTACTTGTTAAAACTTTGGGCAGTTTCTAATTTGTGGACATTATGAACAGAAAGTATCTATGAACATTTTCGAACAAGCTTGTGTGTGAACATGTTTTTACCTCACTTGGGTATGTGTCTAGGATAAAGGCCAGTATTATCTAGTAAAAGTATGTTTAACTTTAGAAGAAACTGATCTTGGCATCCTCAGCAACAACATAAATGTGCTGGAGTAGCCTATCTGTGCTAACACTTTTTAGTGAGTCTTATTGAATTTGAGCCATTTCAATGGGTATAAAATAACCTCATTTTATTTTTATTTTGCATTCCTCTGATGACTTGAACATTTTAAATATGTGCTTATGGGCAATACATATATGTCTGAGTCTATAACATGTGTATGTAAGTCTTTCATTTATTGTTTACTGAGTTTTATAGGTTCTTGTAATTCTTTATCTATACATGTATTAAAACTTTTGTTTTCAGTAGTCTGTGACTTGCTTTCTCATTCTTAACAATGTCTTTTGTAGATCATGTTTTTAAAAATTTGTTAAAGTTCAACTTACCAATTTTTTCTCCATTTGATCCTCAAAAATGGCTGCTTATAACTTAGCATGCTCTTTCCTGCTAATTCTGCAGTTGAATGCAGAATGAGGATCAGCCACTTTATGTACATCTTTAATGTTCAATATCACGTTATTAATAAAACTATTCTTTTCTCATCGAATGGTCTTGAAACAGTTTCCAAAAATCAGTTCTTCACATATCTGTCAGTGTTGTTCCACTGATCTATATTTTTTTTTTCTTTAGGCCAGTTAGTATAGACTTGTAGTATATCTTAAAATCATATGCTGTACATTTTTCAAATTTCTCATTCTTTTTCAAAATTACCTAGTTATTTAAACTGCTTTGCATCTCTGCACTTGTTTTAGAATCAGCTGACTAACTTGTACAAAATAATTTTCTGGGATTTTGACTGATATCGAATTGAATCTATATATCAGTTTTGAGAAAATAACATCTTAGTAATAGGGAAGATTGCAAACCATAAACATGGTCTGTCTGTCTGTTTCTCTCAAATTCCATTTGGCCATAAAATATCTTTTATATATGGATGGATTCAATATGCCAATCTTTTCTTGAAAAGCAATGTTCATGACGGGCTCTGCTTTGCGGTTTTGGTATTTGGTGAACATTGGGCAGCTCCTAGTGAACTAGTCGTCTTATTTTCCTCATAGGCTGTGCTCAGAGTTTTTGCACACACACTAGAAACTACTTTCCTTTTCATCACTGCTCATAGCCAGTCTACATCCAAGAGCAGATTATTGTAGTTTCAAATCATATCTAAGGTCTGTTCACATCTCCAGTCTTTCTCTTAAACCTCTCAATGACCTCCCGTCATACACAGATTATTATTCAAAATCCCTAACTGGCCCCATATTCCCACCTGTCTAGGTTGGTATCTTACCACCTTCTTCCTTGCTCATTACCTTCCAGCCTGAAATGTTAGGTGTTTTTATTTATTTTTTTTAATACTAATAAAGTAATATTATATTGAGATGTTTTGGTCATAAGCAGGAGCTCAGTATCAAGTGTGGAACATGTAACAGCAGATTAAAAAATAGCTGCTCTTATTCTTTTTCCTCCACATGAAGAAACAAAACAGGATATCTACATATATGCCATTTATATTTTCATAGAAAGTGTATGAACCTCAATGAGGATTCCCCTATATTTTACAAATGCCTAACAACTATAAGAATAAAAAAGTATCATATGTCATACCAATAGTTTAAGTATCTCAAAACCTTACTGAAAATTAAATAAAAACTCCTGAGAAATAAGGATGTCTTGGGTGCTTTCCCTTTTTGGCAAGTAGAGCCTCATGACTCCATGCTGGATGCAATGCCTGTTTAAAAATAAATTCTAAACTTCCAGACATAAGCTGAACTCCTGAAATTTAAAATTTTCCTTAGCCTCTTCAGTTTTACCTTCAAAGAGAATTGATAGATGGGGTTTATTTTTCGGAGGTCATTAATTACAAAGTATAGAAGAGATGCTCTTGCTGCCACTGGTCTGTAACATTCTCGAGCCTCATTAATTTTCCTTTCATTTTCTTTAGCTTCAATCACCTATGGTGGGATCAAACAAAATTAAGTAACTTAGTTTTGATATCCTCTATTAATATACAAGTGAGATACTATTTCTTCAACTGAGAAATTACTAACAAGAGATAACAAATACAACATCGATGTGCTTGAATTTTAGAAATACTACTGAATTCACATTTTTAAATAATTCTTTTTAAAACGGAATTTTCAGTGAAGATGGAATAACTCTACCTACTTGATGGTTACAGATTCAATAACTTACTGTTTTCAGTCCTACAGAATTTACTCCTGAGTAATGTCACCTTCCTGCCTCTCCTCTTTCTTTTCAGGGGTTAATAACCCAGCTCTATCACCTCCCAGGGATGGCTTGAAAAAGTCTGCTGGGTCAATTCAATGCCAATAACTTTATTAGTCAACAAGGTATCCAACAGCAGCCAAGGTCAATAATATATCCATTATATTTACTAAAAAAAGCTTTTATCTGGAGATTCTCATGACTTTCATTCTGACTTTATACTAAATCATCCATATGCTCACATATTTCCATTCATTTTACAATTCCATATCAGCCTCTGGTACATTCTAACAGGTAATTAAAAAACAACAACAACATATTATGGCTCAATATATTCATTTCTATCCCAGTCTCAAATGTATATATGTATATATATATATATATATATATATATATATATATATATATATATATATATATTTGATCTAGAGCTATCGCTGGTCCTCTAGCTTTTTCAGATACAGTATCTTTCTAACCTTTTCTATAGACTTGACTTCTATTTGTTGACAAAAAGGAGATAAGATTCCCTTTGCTGTAGAGAAGAGAGGGAATATGTGGTGATATATGAAAATTATAGGAAGAGACATTTTAAGAATTAGACTTTCAAAGCTAAGACCTAATTTACTTAATTGCTTTAATCTTTACCATCTTAGAGTCACCTAGAATTCACTTACTTAGAAGTATAGAGTAATTGGGGATTTTCTTTCTTTGCTTAAATTAAGACAAATGTATTGGGTACATGGTGACACCGCCTCTGTGGGTAATTAATAGATTACATAGTAACGAGTATATTCCAGACAGCAAATAAAAGCTCCTCTCACTTCCAAACAGTGGTGATTTAGGGGTTAAGAGTCACTTATGAATGTTCACAGTGCACACCATGTATCAGGCATATTGGGGCACATATTAGATGTTCAGCAGGAAATCTGGTCGATGAAGATTTTTACTGGCTTTTAGGAAATGAGTTTTCCCAGGGTGAATAATGTACTGGAGGGCAGCGGGAGACCATCTCTTGCTCAGTCTCCTGCCACTGAAGGCCTGTAAACAAAACTTCAGCTCTAAATATTTCTCAATAATGTGCAACAGATTGGAAGCCAGAGGTGAAACTGTCGGATATTAGTTTGCCAGAGCTGGGTACTAAGCCTTTTTAGATTTTAGACCATATAAGCCGGTGGGCTCAAATTTTCTTCAAATTTGGTCATCTTTGGAATGATTAGAACTCTGTTTTATTAGGTGAAGCAAAGTCCATCACCTCTACACCCACTCAATCCAGTTTTTAAGAACAGCTTATTAAATGACCTGAATACCACAAGTTGGTCCTCTTGCATAAATTACTAAATTTAGTACACTTCCATGCTGAACACTTCATTCAAAAAGAGTGCTGAGGATCTCCCTGGTGGTGCAGTGGTAAAGTCTTGGCACCATCAAGCCATCATCAGTCACTGCAACATGATGTCTATCCCTGGCCAGGGAAGTGACCCACATGGCGCAGCAGACCTCTCCTGTCTCACCATCTGCTCCCCTCAGAAGTTACTTTGTCAATCTGCCTGTTCTGCTCTCCACTCTGTCTCTGATGAATCTTCTCACTCCTGCACCTCTGGTCTACACCTCAATTCTTGTGTGCATAAATAAATAAATATTAAAAGAAAAACAAAACAGAAACAGCACTGAAACCTTACAGGAGGGAGGGTGCGGCCTTTCCCTACCTTGCGCTCGATCTCAGCTGCAGTTGCTTTTGTTATCTCCAGTCTCTCTACCAGCTTGGTGTCATCTAGAAAGCTCCCCTCTGCTGCAGAAAGGCGAAGAAGAAGGTCATCCTCCAGATATTTCAGCTCTATCTTAAAGTCATTTTGGTGCTTTGTCAAAGCCAACTAAAACAAACCAAGAAAAGTGTGAGAAAATTTGGGTAAATTCATGCTTTTTTAAAGCAAGTTCCTTAATCACACATAGAATCATTCTAAAAGACATACTTAATATCAAAACCACATTCATCACTATTTTAAAAACCTTTATGAAAAATTCAGAAGATATGTCAACATTTTAATGCCCTAGAGTCCAAAGTATGAACATCTATTATAATTATTTTACATCATGAATCAATTTAAGAAAATAATTAAAACTTCCATCTTCTGCTCTAACATGTAAAAAGTTGAAGTCATAATTTCCACATTCACATTAAGGAAAAAAACTAACAATTCTTATTTCCATCAGTTAACAGAGGTCATTGGGCATAGTGCCACTCTGACAGCTTATCAGGAATATTTAAGCAGTAACTGGATAATTACTGGAGGCAAAGCAGAGTAAAAACTTCAGAGGGTCTAGTCTTAGGAAACTCTCCAAATTTTTGTGACTTTGACTTCTAGGAGTACAACAGATTCTTAAGAATAAATGAGAGAAAAGCCTATTCCTACTTTGGGCAGCAGAAATGGGACAGCAAATATTGTGAAATATGTGTTATTTTTAAAAATATGTTTAGAGATTTATGAAAGTTCTTTGTTCTAAACAAAAGTCTGCTTTCTGGGAAATACACTACAGCTTTATCTGATCTAAGGGGAAGAGTAATTACACAGTCTCTTCTCACATAGGTGATAAATATAAATAAGAAACTCTATTGAAAATAAAAGCTAGGTGACTCAGACCTACTGAGATTTCATAAGATTACAGAGTGATTCCCATCCAAAAAACTTAGTGGGAAATGTTAAAAATAATAAAAAAAAATGTAAAGGAAATAAAGAATACCTATAAGAGGTGTATCAGCAGTTTAGACATGGTTAAGGGAAGAATCAATGAACTTGATGCTAGTTCACAAAACTAAAATGAAAGGAGAAAAAGAGTGAAAAAAGGAAAAGAATATGCAAGAACTACAAAAGGGCTAATGTACAGACAAAGGAAATAACTAGAGGAGGAGAAAAAGAAGAAATATTCAAGGTAATAATGTCTAACAAATTTCCAAAATTAATGACATTCACCACAAGACTGAGAAGCTCACAGTATATGTACAGCATAAACAACAAAAATCTGTAACTAAGAACATTACCTTCAATTTGCAGCTATTCAAAGAAAAAAGACAAAGAATCCAAAAATAGCCATGCGGAGGGAACAAGGTGGAAACAGCTGACACATGGTAGAGAAAGAGTAGATTACTAGGAAAGACTTCTGAGAAAATATACAGGCAAGAAAAGTGTAGAGTAAAATATTTACAACACTGAAGGGAAAAACACCTTTGATTCTGTATCCTGTCCCACATTTTTTTTCAAAAAGTGAGTAAGAAAGACTTATTCTGGAAAATATAAATTGAGGGATTTTGTCACTAATAGGCTATTTACAAGAAATATTTAAAAATTCCTCATAGAAAAGGAAAATGGTATCAGTCAGAACCTCATATATACAAAAAGATAGGAAGAATATTGGAGAATGAATAAATGAAGATAAAATATTTTATTTTCTTACTCTTGAGATAACAAATTATTCAGAATAATAAAGGCAATAAAGTACACTAAAATTTTAAGTATAATTTATATGCTAGAAATCATATACAATGCTTAAATCAAAAGAAGCCAAAACCCACATGTGTTAATTAAACTATAGCAATAATATCTTTAAATATCAATTATCTAAATGCATTAATTACAAAGTAGAAATTGAGCCAGTGGATAAAAACACAATAATCAGCTATCTGTTGCCTATAAGAAATCTACTTTAAACATAGGCAGATTAAAATTACAAGACTAATAAAAGATATACCACACTAACACTAATCACAAGTAAGTTGGGGACCCTCCCTGGTGGCGCAATACGTTAAAGCACAGCACTAAGAAGCTAAAGCCACTTCAGCATGAGTTCAATCCCCAGCCCTGATGTGACCCACATGGTGCGACAGACCTCTCCTGACCCACACGCTGCTCCGGTCAGCAGTGTACTTTGTCAGTTGGCCTGTTCTGCCCCACACTCTGTCCCTAGTAAATCCTCTCACCCTCACCCACCATACCTCTGGCCTGTACCCTAGCTCGGTAAGCATAAATGAATAAATCTTTAAAAAAAAAAAAGTTGGAGTACTTAAATGAACTTTAGACAAACCAGACTTAGAACAAGAAAATTACAGAAAAAAAGGACATTACATATTGAAAAAGGGTTAATTCTCCAAGAAAACATGACTATCTTTAACATGGTTGTGTCTAACAATGAAGTATTAAAACATATGAGGTAAAAACTTATGGTACTACTAGATGAAGCAGACAAATCCACTACTATTGTTGGATAACCCCAATCCCTGTTTTGATAGGTTGATTAACAAATCTAGAAGACAGAAAATCAGTAACAATAAAGTTGAAATAAACAGAATCGTCAATCAGCTGGAGCTAATTGATATTTTATATCAATTAAAACATTTCATATTTGTAATAGGAGAATATACCTTTTTTCAAGTTTAAATGATATATTCACAAGATGAACAAAATTCTGGGCCATCTAGCACACTCAAAAATATTAAAAATATTAATTATGCAAAGTTTGTTCTCAGACTGTAACAAAATGAATTGCAAATTGCTAACAAAGATAGCTGAAATATCCCCAAATACTTGGGGATTAAATATCACTTTTTTTTTTAAGATTTATTTATTATTCATACAGAACTGGGGTACAGGCCAGAGATGAGAGGAGGGTGAGAGGATTCACCAGGGACAGAGTGGGGAGCAGAACAGGCAGATCGATGAAGAACACTGCTGAGGGAAGCAGTGGGTAGGTCAGGAGAGGTCTGCCACGCGGGTCAGGAGATCTCCTCCGGGGCAGGTGAGAATCGAACTCATGTGGAAGTGGCTTAAGCTTCTTAGTGCAGTGCTTTAACCTGCTGCGCCACCAGAGAGGGCCTAAATATCACACTTTTAAATAGTACTTATGCCAAAGAAGAAATCTCAAGAGCAATGAAAATATTTCAAAATAAGTAAAAATGAAAATACATTTTATTTAAATGGATGAGATGCAGCAAAAGCAGTACTTAGAGACAAAATTATAACACTGAACATATAGATTAGAAACCAAGAAAGATCTTAAATAAGTTAGCTATGCTTTTACCTTAAGAAACTAGCGAGTGGCCTGATGGTCCAGGGGTTATGTCTCAATGCTATCACCATTAGGGTTTGAGTTCAATTCCAGGCCATGAAGCTAACCCACATATAGCACAGCAGACCTTTCCTGTCTCCCCTGCAGTCACTCTTAGCAGTGTATTTTAGTAATTCACCTGTTCTGTTTTCTATTTTGTCTCTGGTGAATTCTCTCACACCTCTCCTCCCCCTGGACCTCTGGCCTACACCCCAGCTCATCTACAAAATAAATCTTTTGTAAGGGAGAAACTAGTGAATTAAAAATCTCACTGGAATTTTTCAAGGAAATGGAACAAATATTGCTGAAATTCTTATGGAAGATCCTGAGCAGCTAAGGCTCTCCTGATTAAAAAGGGTAGAAATGATATATTACACTTAGATTTCAAATTATACTACAAAACCACACAATTAAATCAATGTGTCACTGGAACAATAACAGACATGCAGACCAAAGGAATAGAATTGAAAGCCCAGAAAGAAAACCACACATATTTGGACAACTAATCTCTGACAAAAAGCAAAGAATTTACACTGGAATAAGTGTAATAAATGATATGGGGAAATTGGACTGCCACACGCAAAAGAATGAAACTAGATTATTCTCACACCACACACAAAAAAATCAATTCAAAATAGTTAGGAGACTTGGATTTAAAAGTAGAAACCATAAAACACATAAAAGAAAACACACATAAAATACTCCAGGTCATCAACTTTAGAAAGTTCTTTGAGAACTTGGCTCCAGCAGCAAGAAAACAAAGGAACACAAAAACAGCTGGGCTATAACAAACCCAAAGTCTTCAGTATAACAAAAGAGACTGTAACCCTCTGATAATATGACAATTGCTCAAGAACCAAAAACTGAGATCTACCGATTTATACCAGGAGTGGCAAATTTTTTTTCCCATAGAAGGCCAAATAGCAAGTATGTCTGGCTTTGCAGGTCATACAGTGTTTATTGCAACTATCCAACTCTGTCTGCCATTACCTCCCTTCTCCAATTTCAAGTTCACTCTGTTGTTTTCTGTTTGTTATGATGAATTATTTTCAGTATTTTTTCTGGATCAAAGTACTTAAAGATGTAAATTTCCCTTTAAATACTAGTCGTAAGTCCCTTAATTTTTCCCAGCATTCTCCATGACTACTCTATTTCTGCATCCTGACTGGTTATCTTATCATCGACTAGCAGGCCATATACCTACCTCTACCTCTGTTCTAAGACTGATAAGCTTCTTTGTTTCTCCCTTCACCTGCATCTCACAAGACCTGGAGGCAGCTGAGGTCCTCCAGAGGCAAAACGCCAATCATTGTTACACACCCCTCCCGTTAACTTATATGTTTAAATGCATGTGCTAATTGTTTCAAATATCCCAATTTTTATCAAGTTGCAAGATTCTGAAGGGCAAGAATCCTATTTTATACTTTGATGTCTGACACTATAATTTGTGCAAAACAGGCACTAAACAAACTTTGGGGGAGAATTTAATCACTTTACCTTGAGTTTCTCCAAATCTGGCCTTTCAATACTGACAACTTCTGCCAGGAGCTGGGCTTCTAGACCATCTTCTGTAACTGTGAAATTGAGGAGAGTTGTCTGAGCTTGCAGTTCTGGCTTATAATGAGGATTTGCCAATTTTGTGTGAAGGATAAGGCGAAAGTTCTTATTAAATTCACATTCTTTATCTCCAATCTTGATATACCTAACAAAAGCAAAAATGCAGATTCTCATGAACCATAATTGCTATCATTCCATTTTTACACTCTGTACTGTAATACTATGTGATTTGGGGCTTTCCAGCTGCCCTGTTTTCCTAAAGTGTAGGTGGAATCAGAATTACCCACCACATTTTGTGTGACTGAGATTCCTCATTTGTGAAGTGATAAATGTACTTACTTCATAATTGTATTTCTCCCCTCAGGTATATAGACTCCAAACTCTCCCACCACCACAGCACTGTGACCCATCACCACAGTGCCTTGTGCTCTCCCACCTCCGCAGCGGCCCTGAGATCTATGGTTTGGCTGCAGTTTTGTCTTTTTCCTGATCCTCGGTTCAGTTTCCCTGTACTCCCCCTGTAAGTGTCTGCTCTAACAAACATTATTATTTATGCTCTCATAATGAGAAGCAAAAATTTTTATATGCTGATTCGCTCTTTTTTATTTAGTCAGTCAGTAGTAAATATATATTCAGAGCTTACAATGTCACAGATAAACCATCTGCCCAACTCAAAGATGGCAAAAGGATCCGATTTCTCCAAAAAAGAAATACAAAAGGCTAATGAACACCTACAAAGATGCTCAACATGTAAGTCATTTAAACAAACAAACAAACCATAAATCAAAGGAAGTGAGGTGCCACTTTATACCTACTAGATGGTTACAGCAAAGACATAATAACAAGTATTGACAAGGATGCAGAAAAATGAGAATCCTTATGCATTGCTGGTGGAAATGCAAAATGAGGCAACTGCTTTGGAAAACAATCAGTAATTCCTCACAACGTTAAATAGAATTACCATTTAACCAACACAGTTTCACTCCTTGGAACACACATATATATACACACATATTATTAATCATACAATACACAAATAAAATATGTCCCCACAGATTTCTTATTTTTGAAACTTTTTTAAAGGTTTATTTTTATGTATTTATGCAGGTAAGAGCTGAGGTACAGGCCATAGTTATGGAGGGTGAGAGGATTCACCAGAGATAGAGTAGGGAGCAGAACAAGCCGAATGACTGAAATACACTGCTGAGGGGACCAGGGGGCAGACAGGAAAGGTCTGCTGCGCCGTATGGGCCATCCCCCTGGTGCTAGCACTGACCATCATGGTGCTAGCTCTGAGACTTAACCCTAGCCTACTAGGGAGGAGCTGCGCATAGAATTTTTATACAAATGTTCACAAGAGCATTTGTCATAATAACAAAAAAAAAAAAAATCCAAGTATCTGTAAACTTACAAACTTAATCAAAAGACGGGATATCTAAACAAAGGGATATTATTCAGTTATAAAAAGCAAAGTAGTTCTGACACAGGTATCAACATGGCTGAACCTTGTAAACATATGCCAAATGAAAGCAGTCAGAAAACACCACATATGACATGCATGATTCCATTTACAGGAAACACTCAGAATAGGCAAATCAATAGAAATAGATTAGCTTAGGAGCTTCAGTTCTAAAACTATTTGTGGTAATGGCTGCCCATTGCTGTGACTCTACTGGAAACCATTGAACTGTTCACTTTAAATGATTAAATTGCAAGGTGTGTGAATTATTCCTCAATAAAGAGTTAGCCAGAAAAAAAAAAATAAAAAGCGAGCGAGCAAAAGAACTATTGATCAGAGGTCAAATCACTAGCATTTAGGCTTTTATCAATCAGTTAGCTAACTGTAGTTTCTCAAGGTTCATGCTTGACGTTTAGGCATAATGAGATACTTTATAGGATGATATTTGATAAAGGACACCTTTCTTAGTTAACCTGCTTCTTTTTGATGATATATATTCAACTATATCTACATTAGGAGTATTACTGAAAATTTTCCCATTGAGTTTCCCTTTTCAAGGGCTTCCAAAATCGATCTCACAAGTAGTTTGGGAAAAATCTTTTTTTGTTAGTGCTATTCACTCTTGCTGTTGACTCAGACTCCAAGATTGGCTTTTAAAGGCAATTTCAAGAATGAAAGTCTTATGTAATTACTGCCTGGGGTTCTCACACATATGAGATACCCAAGTTTATACTCACTTCTTGACAATAATATAACCTATACTTTAACTAAACCTCTGTGTATATCTTGCAATTTTCTGTTTGCTGCTGCATCTTGGTTTGAATTCCTTCCTTCCTTAGGCAAAGAAATGCCAGGTCTGTCATAACTTTTTATGGTTCCAGGCTGAATTTTCTTTTCTCCATTTGCTTATGGATTTTTGCCAGGTTTGAATATATATTTTATAAACTTCTGTTTTAATCACTAAACATTTTTATACTTTAAGAATGTATATTTAAATGAAGAACATTAAATGATCCAACGCTAGAATTTCCATTATTGCTTAGGGAGATGGCTAACTGTAGCAGGACTCGGAGCTAAAAAGTACACTTAATTGTAGTTGTGTGTATGGGGTGTGGGGTGTGTGGTGTGTGGTGTATGTGTGTGTCTGAGAATCACAGCAAGCTTCCAGCACAATGACTAACATGCTTTTAAAGTTAGAGGTGAGCAGAAGTTAGGGAACAGTTGTCCACCCTGGGGTGGAAGCACTTTATCTGTTGAGGCTGCAGAGTAAACAACTCACATTTTGAAGGACCACTTATACCTCTGCTATATACAGGTGCCCCCTGAACTGTGTGGGCCACTTAAATGTGGAGTTTTTTCATATCATCAGTTCCTCATTCATGAACTCAATCAAGTACAGGTGTCAGCTGGTTGAATCTAAGGATGAAGAAACCACAGATATGGGGTGCCCATTACAAGGGACTGCACATCAAAAAATTTTGGCATGGGACTATCCTGAAAGCACTTGTGTTGGGAAATTAAGGGACAATTGTAGCTAAGGTTTTGAGAAGTTAAAAATTATATGTAAATTTTGACAGTGTGTGGGTCAGCCCCTAAATCTTTGGGTACTTCAAGAGTTGACTGTATTCTGCATGATTGTTGACAACCCTAATAATGGTGGATGAGGATTGGGGTGCTAGTATAGCAGTCATGGTGTGAAAGTACACATTTGTAGAGGGTTAAGCCTATACCCCCCAGAGCAGACGCAATAAAGTAGAAGACATTACTGTAATACAAAAAATTTGAAAAGTAAAGAAATAAAACCATTCTTAGCTCATGGGCTGCATTAAGATAGATTGTTTGCCTAAAGCGGTGCTAGACCACATCAGTTAGTGTGTGAGTGTCATCTCACACAGCAACTGGAGATAATTCCACTAAATTTCCAACAACACCTACTTAAGATTTTCTCAGCCACTATGTACTGTTCACCTGCTGTGACTTTCAAGAGGAAAACAGATGAGACTAAACCTGGAGCATGAGGTTCTGACAATTTTGCTTCTTTGCAGATAACAAACGCTTTTAACTAATACATACTTATTTAACCCAATATCTGCAGTAAAGCATCCTTCCTGAGGTGACTCTGGGAGCTCTTCCGGGCACACCTACATACCCCATTCTCTTTGAAAAGGAGAAAACTACCTACCTGGGTGACAAGTCTGAGTTTTCTCTGTGAAGAAAGAGTTAATCACGGGGAAAGAGATGTCTGCCTATAAAGTTGCATTTGAAATTTTGCTCTGAAGCATTGTTTTATAGGTTTAGATTTCTTAGGGACAGTAAATTATCCTCAATTGGAGTGTTTATGATCTATGAAAGGCAAAAACTGCATAATGACTCAGTGGGTTTTATCATTGCTGCTAGGTTAACTTTTGGTTAATCTCCTATCTAGGACAATTAAACAGGTTGCTGACGCTGGTCTCTCATGATTTGAAGGATCCAAACAAAAAAGGAGTTAAGCAGAGGGGTGGGGAAAGCAATCACTGTTGTTTCTATGAAAGGCATGAATGTAGAGGTTGTGACTTCCACAACACAGAAGGAAGCTACAAGCTTTTGAACAAACTCCCAGCAGGCGCGATAGGCTTGAGGAGCAACATAAAACTTAGAAATGCGGCTACTTTCTTAAAACAGCTCTTAACACAGTTTCCCACATCACGCCTCCCTGGAAAAGGACACATCTGGCCCTGACTCCACACTGCAGAGAGAAACAAGTGAGGCAGAAATCTCTGAGTCTGGGGGGTAGGCATTTGCTTCCAGAGGGGTTTTATTACACTCCCTTCAAGGAGTAAATTCCTTTCCATCCTCCTCACTGGCTGAGATTGTTGGTTTGGAGGTGAGAAACTGATTATATGAATTCAGAAACAAAATGATTCTTCCCATTATAAATGCTTCCATTGAATTGGGTAGTACACAGGGTGAGTCAAAAACATTGTTTCACCTAGAAGAGTTATAATTTTAGATAGGCAAGATGGGCCCCAGAGAGCATTCCTATTTATGGACTCAAGAGTTTATGATTTGTCCAAGGTCAAATAGCTTAGTGATAGAGCTGGGACTAGAACCTGGGTCTCTTGACTCCTCCTATAAAGTTCATTTCACTGACCACATTACAGGTTAATTTGCTATGCTCGACAGTGACAGCTTGTGACCCCGACGTCGCTCTGTTGATCTGTCTGACTGCCTATCATAGAGGCTACTGGGAGGCTACGACTGACTCAATAACAAACTAGGGCCACTAGAGAAAAAATGTAAAGACACACATCAGAGAACAAGTCCTTCTGTCTTTGGTTGTAAATTCTGTTCCTTGTTTAGGAGAATAACATGATCATTGAAGAATTCAGCTCCAAGCAAAAGCTGTAATTTTTGTAGTTACATTCATAAAATGAATTTCTTAATACACAAAATCTACAACAGTCACTCAATTTATACGAAAGCTTTCTGTCTTCTAGTTTTAAGGAAAAAGAAAATAATTTTAAATATGCCAAAATGCTCAATAATCAGCAGTCTTCATAGAATCATCAACAAATTAAGTTCAGTTTCCCATATGTCAGGTTTGTATAAAACTCAGACACATTTGAAATTTCAAAATTCATTGAATGTATTAAAAATTCATCAAACGTGTTCTGGAATAAAAAGATTCCTATGTTCAAATCAGA